GCTTGTTGTTGCCCTGTTTTTTTGTGTGCTGCTTGTTGGTTTGCCTACTTTGTGCTGTTATTTTGTTTGCAACTTTACTTGTTGCCTGTTGTTTGGACTGCTGCAGTAGCTTTGTTGTCTTTTGCTTTTCTGCTACAGTTTTGGGCAATTTGGTTGCTGTTTGTACTGTCCAATTTATATGTGTTTTGGGCTATTGGTTGGCTGATTGTTGGTTGCTGTATTGGGCAGTTTGCTTTGCAGACTTGATTCTGCTGTGGCTTTTGCATTTTGTTATTGTTGCTTGCTGTTTTTGGTTATGTTTGTTGCAAGCTTTGGACAACATGCTTGCTGCTATATGGCTGCCTTGCCTTGTTGACTTGCTTGCTGCAAATTCAATGCAACCCTGTTTTGTTTGGACTGTTGCAGTAGCTTATTTGGTTTGCTTGTATGTCTGCCTTGCATATATCTTTCCCTTTTTTGTGAACCAAAATCCAGGTTTAGTGATTTGCAAAAAAAGAGGAGATGAATTATGATTAAAAACAAAAAACCCGTTAATTGCTGATTCCAAAATGCAAACCCTAATGATGAGATAAAAACTTGTTTTAACCATCAATTCTTGCTTGAATTTTCATATATTGATTGATTTGCTAACTTTTTTCTTTTCTTGTTTCATGAAAGGCGAGCGAGGCTTGGATGCAAATGAAGGTTGGACGGCTTACTTGAAGATGAAGATGAAGACTTGAAGAAGAAACAAAACTTCTCTTTGTAAACTTGAAATTCTTTGTAAACAAACAATTTGTAATTTCTCTTTGTAAACAAGAAACTTGTGATTCTTTGTAAACAAATAAAAATTTGTAATTTTATTTGCAACGTAATAATACAAAGAGTTGAACAACTTTGGTATGATAGGATTCTATATAAATTTTTGTATTCTAATTGAATTTTTGAAATTCCCAATCAGAACATTTGAAATGAAATACTTCAATCTGGTAACTCGAATTCCAAATAATCACAACTGACTTTGTAACTGTATTTGAAATAAACATGCACCTTGTACTCTAATTCCTAAATAAAATAAATGTTTAAGAATGTAATTCATTTGATCAACTTGAATCCAAAACCATGATTGGTTTAAATGATAGTCTTAATCTTCATATCTTGTCCAAACAACATGCTCTGAGAACAATCGTCAATCTTTCAGTAAATTGTGGTTAAGAAAATTCAAAATCAACAAATGCCTTGCGACGATTTGATAATTTTAAAGTCTTCCAAACACAATTATCCTTCGATTCTTTGAAGATAAACCCGTGAGCGACATCACATATGACCATGAACAGAAATAATCGTCTAAAGGTCCTGTAATTTGAAGAAATCACAATTCTTAGAAACCAGACAACTGTTATTTAAAATTAGGTCAAATTCCATGATGCGACTTCTAACACATTCAAATTTTTGGTGATCTTTTACGCGTAATCAGTTCTTGATTTGTGAAGAGAAATTGGAGATGGCATCAAGGAGAATCGTACACAAGAAAAACCACTCAAAAATATTGAATGATGAAGAAGTTACAAGCATTTGAACTCGCTCTCACAAAAGGTTAATTTTTGGGTTAATGTAGTCGTGTTCAGTTATCTGGACCATTGATTGGGCAAACTTGCAATGCGAGGTTTGAAAACTGGCTTAAACAACCTTGAAGATATATGGAAACCCATGAATACCAATTGATACCTTGAAGACTCAATTTTCTTTGAGAAATGCAAAACCCTAATTACTGATTTACTGTTTAGGAAGAGAATTTGTCTGATCAATTACTGAGCCAAATTGAATATTTGAGGAACCTTAGGATAATATCTTGTATGAAAAATGAGAGGGCAAATTTTGGGGTACAACAGTGACCTTCTGGGAAGTTTCCCGGAAAACGTATGAGTGATGACAAAGCATGCTGAAAATACTTGAGTTGATTTGTGGGGTTAGTCGGTAATCTTGAAAGCAACCTGTGACATTATATTCGTCATGTATATATAAGTTGAAGTTGTGGATTCGTAACATTGTCAAATGTTCCAAATCGGTCAAATGACACAATAAAACATATTCAATTTGAAAGATCCAATACATAGCTTCACCCTAAACTGACGAACAAGCATACCCACTTCAAGGGGGCGTGCACTGGAGTCATGCATCACGCTAATCCCAGTCGTTGGAATCCATCCAACGGTCTCCAATATCTAACACCACATTCATTGGGATGGTTTCAACCATCATCTATATATAAGTGTGGTTTCACGTCACACCAAATTAGAATGCATTATACTCTTGAAAAATTAAACATCTTTAACCTCCTTGATTCGAACATTGACAGTAAACCTTGTAAATACACTCCTTATCTATTTATCGAAGACTCCCTCTATTGTAACATAGACCTAGCATAACAAATTTCATCAACACATCACTAATTTCATATTCTTCGAAATACCAATGAAGACATTGATCAATGGCCCATAAGGTCATAAATACTTGAGTTTTTTTTTTGGGTTGTGTGAGACTTTTACAGTTTAAAAATATTTATTAATTTAATAAGTGTTTAATTTATATTTCAAAAACAAATTTTGTTTTTAAATTGCTTAAATTATGTTTTTATGACTATTTACAAATCAATAAGTGATATTACTTGTTATCAGAAGTGAGAATACATTGGGCTAAGATGGGTTTTATCAAGTTTGAATTTGACCTGTTAAAATATTAAGAGTCTAAATTTGATTTGTAGTTTATCGTAGATTTATTTTTAGGCATGAGCCTAGTCTTTTCGAATGTCTGATTGACCTATTAGCTTACTTAGAAACATATTTTATTTGAACACTAATAACTAATGTTAAGTTTTATAATATAATTTGTTTGAGATAATTTATGAAAACAACTTATAACAACAACTTATAACATTGTTTATAAGATTTTTTCAACTTATTTTCTTAAGTTTTTCAATATAATAATACTAAAATTATTCATTTTTACTTAAATAAACCGATCTAACATATTTAAAAAGTTTTTTTAATAGTATGTGACCTAACCTTTTTAATCAAATAGACTTATAAAAAGACCAAAGACTTTTCAACTTAAAAAAAATCTGATGTAATTTAAACAGATGTAAACTAAAATGTAATTTCTTGTTAATTGACCTTACTTATTCCATCCGTTTCAAAATGATTATCGTTTTAATAAATAAAATTTATTTTAAAATAATTATCATTTTTATTTTTTAATATAGTAATAATAATAATTTTTTCAATTATATTCTCTACTTTTTATTCTTGACACTAATTTAAATATATTAATAAAATTAATATATATAAAAATATAATATTTTATAATAATATCATTATATTTATTAATTTGTGTGTACAAATTGTATGACCGCCATTTTAAAACGAAATAAACATATATTTTAAAGTGAATTGTTCAATCTAATAGAATCAGATGCTAAATTTAAATATAAATAACAAAAGAAAATCAGCTGGACAGAAACCAAAAAACAAAACACCACCATTGTAAGATTCGAACCTTAACTATGTTGCAGAGATAAAAGTAAAGTTGTCAGTAGGGAAAACAGCTTTGTGCTCAAATATTCTTACAAAAATGAATACGAACAAAAATGAATCATCCTTGCTAATTTAGCTTTTACATAAAAATATATAAAAACAAAATTCCCGCGTTTGACTTGTTGTTGTTGCTCCATCATTATTATCTAAATTTGCTTATCAAAAAAAAAATTATCAACTAAATTTATTTTGACAGACCCATACCCTTCACTAAATTCTTTTATACTCGTAAAAGTTAAAGTAATTAAATATAATCTTTCAATTAATTCATATTAATTCAACTAAATATTAATAAATGTTAAATTCTTATTTAATATTTTTATTTTATTTTTTATTCTTTCACTCACCATCTCATTCTTCTTTCCTTTCTTATTTTATTATTTTATAATTTTTATCTAATTATTTTATCTTTTCATAATTATATATTTAATATATTAAATATTTATTGATCTAAAAATGTATACAATATTTATATTATTTTATTTTTACAACAAATTTAATTAATTTTATTTATTATTATTATTATTAACAATATTAATTAATATATTTTTAAATTATAATAAAATTAAGAATTTATTTTATATTTTATGAAATTGTATAATATTTAATAGTCATACACACAATTAACTTTCATCTAATAGATCATTATAAAAAAATATCTATTCTATTTTAATTAATAATATTTAATATTTGAGATACAAAATTTTTATTTTCAAATATCAAAAATTTTTTTTTTTCCGTATTACCATCAATAAAATATTTATTTTATTTTAATACACAATTATCTTTATTTGAGACATAAAATTCTTATTTTTAAATAAATAAAAAAAATCTCACAGATTCCTATCAACAAAATATTATTTTATTTTTTATTAATAATTATTTTTATTTGAAGTATAATTTTTTTTTATTTGTTAAAATTTCTATTTTTTTCATGAGTCACTATCAACAAAATACTTATTTTATTTTAATTAATAATTATTTTTATTTAAAACATAAATTCTTATTTTTAAATATCAAAATTTTTATTTTTCTCACATGACATTCTCAGTAAAATATCTATTTTATTTTAATTAATAATTATTTTTATTTAAAATATAAAAATTTTATTTTTAAATATCAAAATTTTACTTTTTTCTCTTTTATTCATTTAACAATTTTTTTATTTAACATGATTAAATTTATATTATCATTATTTATTTTATAATTAAAAAATTTATTTTAAATTTTCATGTATATTTAAATTTTAAATAAAATTTCTATCATATTAAATAAATTTATGTGCGGAATAATTTGCTAATTTTATGATAAGGAAGAAAGGACCCATCATCTAAATAATAAAAAGTTTGATTTGTTTATAATTATCGCTCTGTTATTGTTGTTAAAAAAGATAATGAAAGAAAAAGCAGGTAGTATATAATACAATAAAATAATAATAATAAATTGTGATGTGACAAGAAATCTGTCTCTCTTCCCTCACACATCGCACAGCACAGGCCCAACTTCTCCGTTCCGTTGTGTTGTGTCGTGCTGTATTGTGCTGTGTCTTCTTTCTTCTTCTTCTTCCCTTTTTTCATTCTCTCACTACCACCCTAACAACAACCCTTTTTTCAAATCAATTCTGCATTTTCCATTCGTTTCTTCCCGAATCAACAACGCTAATGCTTCTTCATCATCGTCATCATCCTCTGATATCAACAACCTAGGGTTTCTCTCCGTGGGATTTTGGGGTTAAGCTTAATCTCCGGCTTCCATGGCTTCCAACTTGAAGATGACCCCTAAACTCGAACAGATCCACGGTGAAATTCGCGATTTATTCCGTGCCCTCGCGTATGCATCATCATCATTCTCTATTTTCGTTTTTTCATTATCTCGTGTTTCGTACTTTCTTTTCATCAATCCTTTTATGAAGCTATTTAATTTAAAATATTAACTTGTAGCTATTTTTGGGGCTTGGTTAATAATGATCTTGTTAGTTCAAGAGGCTGTGATTATGTGATATTTTTTAACTTGGAGGATTATCCTGTATAGTAGTTGTTGGTGAAATTAGGGTGGATGTGGTGGAATTCAATGGGACTTGGAGGATAGTTCTTGAACTACAAGAAGGCTTGATATGCGTGTTCACCTTCTTATTTCATGTTGTATAAAACAATCTAATTTCCAGATTTCACAAAGAACTCTTTCTCTCACAAAGAAGAGGTCAATTTCCATATGCTTCGTCCTGGAGTGTATAATGGGATTGTGAGCCAGCATCACTGCAGACTGATTGTCACACAAAACCACTGGCTGTTTGGCAGGTACACAAAGTTCAGCTAACAAGGTTTGAAGCCAGAGTAAATCAGCAGTGGCCTGAGCTAGACTCCTGTATTCTGCTTCTGTGCTGGACCTGGCAACCACAGGTTGCTTCTTGGACCACCAGGATACTAAATTTCCTCCAAAATAGATGGCTGCACCAGACGTACTACGCCTATCATCAGGGTCTGAAGCCCAATCAGCATCACAGTAAACTTGAAGAGAGGGAACTTCAGATGGAACATAAGGAGAGAGATGAAGACCATACTGAACAGTGCCCTTGAGATATCGAAGATCCTCTTGACAGCAACCCAATGCGTTTCAAGGGGGTGAGACATAAACTGACAAACTTTATTTACAGCATAGGCAATATCAGGGCGTGTAATGGTTGCATATTGAAGGGCACCAACTACTGACCTGTACATATAAGGATCAGCAAGAGCAGGGGAGCCAAGTTTAGTTAGCTTGCAGGAGGACTGCATAGGAGTGGCAACAGGGGCAGAATCAGCCATGTGAGTTCTGTGCAATAAATCCCTAACATACTTGGATTGAGTAAGGAGAAGAGATCCCTGAGCAGCAGATTTTACTTCAATCCCAAGAAAATAATCCAAGTCTCCCAAATGTTTGAGAGAGAAGGCAGCATTGAGTTGATGAATAATAGACTGAAGCAGGGTAGTATTGTTGCTGGTGATGATAATGTCATCCACATACACAAGTAAATAAACAGTGTTACCATTGGCAGCAAAGATGAACAAGGAAGGATCGCACTTCCTGGGTTTGAAATGCAGTCTAAGAAGGGCCTCTTGCAGCCTTTCAAACCACTGCCTAGGAGCCTGCTTCAGGCCATAGAGTGCTTTATGCAGTTTGCACACAAGAGAGGAATCTGAGCTGACAAAGCCAGGAGGTTGATCCATATAGACTTCTTCATGAAGAAGCCCGTTCAGGAAAGCATTGTTAACATCAAGCTGCTGAAGAGACCATTTGTGGGTGAGGGCAATGGTCAGAATGAGTCTGATTGTAATTGGCTTTACAACAGGAGAGAAGGTCTCATTGAAATCACACCCTTGCTTCTGATGAAACTCTTTTGCTACAAGGCGTGCCTTGTACCTGCTGACAGAGCCATCAGGATTCTCCTTGATACGAAACACCCACTTGCAGCCTATAGACTGCCTATGAGGAGGAAGGGGAACAAGACTCCAGGTGTTATTACTACTCAGGGCATCAAATTCAGACTGCATAGCCTCTTTCCACTTAGTATCTGCAAGAGCTTGCTTTACAGTTTTGGGTTCTGTATGAGTGAGTAGCACCTTTGATTGCATAAAGCCAGTTTTAGCTCTTGTGACCATAGGATGTTGATTAACAGGTTTAGAGCTAACTGCTACAGCATTAGCAGGTAGGCAGCATGGTGTAGGGGTAGCTGTCAGAGGTTTTGAAGGAGATGCCTCAGAGGACAGCTGAGAGGGAGAAGACAGATTGGTTACAGGTTTAGTAAGAGAGGGAGAGATGTCCCCTCCTTGACTTGTAGAAGGAGAAGAACTGGAGGGAATGACAGGGGCAGGGAAGTTATTAGAAGAAAAGGGAACAACTGTTAGTGGCACAGGCTTAGGAAGAGGGATGCTGGAAAACAGGGAGGATAGAGATGATGAAGGTGTCTGACTGGTAGGTGTATTGACATTCAGGATAGGAGAAATAGGTGGAGAAAACAGCTCTAGATAAGGAAATCTGGATTCATGGAACAAAACATCTTTGGATATATAAAGCTTGCCACTAGGGGAAAGACATTTATAACCCTTGTGAGAGTTGGAATAACCCCAAAACAAGCATTCATGAGACCTGAATTCCAGCTTGTGCGCGTGATAAGGTCTCAGAAGAGGGAAACAAGCACAACCAAACACCTTCAGAAACTTGTAGTCAGGAGCAATGTGAAACAGAAGAGTGTAGGGAACCTAGAATTGAATAGCTGAGGAGGGAAGTCTGTTGATGAGAAAGACAGCTGTGGTGAAGGCATAATCCCAGTATGTTAATGGTAAAGAGGCTTGACTTAACAGAGTCAAGCCTAGATCCACAATGTGCCTATGCTTCCTTTCCACCACTCCATTTTGGTGGTGAGTATAACTCTGTGCACAATGCCAAGGTCAGAAAGAAACTTGTTGAAGGGACGAAATTCTCCACCCCAATTGACTGAATAGCTTTGATAGGAAAACCAAATTGCAGTTCCACAAGAGACTTAAACTGCTTGAAGACACCAAGTGCTTCAGCTTTGGTTTTAAGCAAATACAACCATGTGAATCTGGAAAAGGCATCTACAAATGAGATATAGTAGGTAAAGCCTTGTGCTGAAGGTTGAGGAGAAGGTCCCCACAGATCACAGTACACAAGCTCTAAAGGGTGAGAATAAGTGGTGTGTGAGGCAGGTGAATGCAATTTATGTAATTTACCCATACAACAAGCAAAACAGAAAAAATCATGAATTTTATTGCTAAATTTGAGATTACAACTTTGCAGCACCAATCTCAAAGTGTTGATATTAGGATGGCCTAGTCTTAAATGCCACACATTGGACAAAGCAGGAGAAACATCAACAGTATTAACAGAAGGTACAAGTTTGTTTAAAGAAGCTAAAGGCTTAGTAGACACAGCAGATTTGGAAAGGTTGAGCATAGGGAACTCATACAACCCATCAGACCCCACATGACCAGTTAGCAGAACAACATTAGATACCTGGCATTTGACAAAGCACGAATCAGCTGTGAAAAGGAAGTATACCTGATTGTCACGACAAAACTGACTCACACTTATGAGATTCTTGGTAATAGATGGCACATGTAAGAGATTATTAAGTGTGAGAGGTGTGCGAGGGTGATTTTGAGAAAGAAACTGACTAGAACCAGTAGAGTTGATGAGAAGACCTTGGCCATTGCCTATGTAGATTTGTTCATGACCCTCAAAAGGTGTAGCCTGCTGCAGATTATTTGCATCATTGGTGACATGATAGGAAGCTCCGGAATCAGGATACCAGGACATAGCAGAGGAAGAAGGAGTGGCATTTGCAATGAATGTGCTGGGAGCAGAATAGGTAAGAGCTGGCCTTGCTTGAGTAGTTGGAGGTCGTGTCCACACATTAGCAGGGAAATGACCATAGGGCACCTTAGGAAACTGCCAAGGGGCAGCATGATAGGGACTGCTACTTTAAGAGGGAGCTTGAAAGTTCTGATTAAACCTATGCCAGCAGTTTAAAGCTGAGCGTCCAACTTTGGAGCAAACTTGACACTGAACTGTAGAATTTCTGCCACCTGAACCTTTTCCACGACCACCTCTGTTGGATCTGCCACCTCTAAAGCTGGAATACTCAGGCTCAACACGAGATGGAGTTACTTGTGAGTGAGCAGATTCAGTGCTGCCAGATTGAGGATTTTCAGGTGAAGCAGCTTGAGGTGAAACATGTGTAAGATTGAGAGATCCAAGATCTGGCACAGTAGTCTTCTTAAATCTGTTCAGCCTCAACTCATGTGTAACAAGGAGAATTTCCACCTCATCCAAATCCATATCACCAAACTTACTCTCAACAACATAAACAACCGGAGCATATTCGCTAGGAAGCCCCTCAAGAATCACATCAATGTGACGAGAGCTGGGAATAGGATCTCCAATTGAGGCTAGAGCATCCACAGTAGCGCGAATTTTCAACAAATAGTCAGAAACAGATTGAGATTCCAGAGTTAGGGCACGCAATTCCACACGCAACTGGCGTGCACGAGCACGAGTTTGCTTCTGGAAATAGCTGAATAGACGATCCCAGAGCTGATGCGAATGAGAGCATCCAAGGACACGAGACAAAATTTCGCTCGAGAGTGTGGATTGAAGCCAAGATAGAAGCAACTGATCTTTCTGAAGCCAAACAGAATATGCAGGATTAACCATACCTTGGCGACGAACATCATCGTCCATAAATTTGGACGGAATCCGAGTGCACACCACGAGATCCGTGAGATTATGCGCGATGATGTAGGGTTCCACCTGTTGACGCCAGAGATGAAAGTTTTTCTCATCGAGTTTGTGCGCGATTTTGAGAGAGAATTGGAGATGACGCATTTCAGCAGTCGCCGCCGTGAACGACGAGGCCGGCACTGTGACGTTAGCGGAAGACGACGATCCCGGTGACGCCATGGATCGAGAATGGCTTAATCTGATACCATGATAGAAGACATAGCAGAGATAGAAAATATAGAGAAACTTTTCATTTCTGTTATTTGAACTGCAAAAGTTAGTTACAGATAGTGCACACAGTTGCATTTATAAGGCAATCTGTGTGACCTGCTACAGCAGGTAGGCAAGCATACAGAACATGACAAGTGCCAGTCATAACAAGTTTAAAACAAGGCTTAACACTTCTATTATTTGCCTTACTCTAATAAGGATGATGAACCAAGCCACTTATGTGTTTCACCAAGCATTCCATACTACTTAATGTGGGATATATTCACCCCCATAATATTCAAGTCCTATAGCTTCCCAATTAATTAGAATTGAAATTATTAGAGAGTGTTGGGGTAGCGTCTATAGTAGAGAAGATGGTGGAAAATAGACTTAGGTGGTTTTGAGCATGTAGAGAGAATACATGTTGATTCTGTAGTGTAAAAAGAGTAGACCAGATGGAGAGAAGACAAACAATTCGAGGAAGAGAAAGAACCAGAAAGACTATAAGAGAAGTTATTAAGAAAAGCCTCAAGATTAATGGTTTGGAGAGAAGCATTGTCCTTGATAAAACAATATGGCGAAAGTTGATCCATGTAGTCGACCCCATCTACTGGGATAAGGCTTAGATGTTGTTGTTGTTGTACTATTCACTTACAAAAATCTTTACAAACATATAAATGCTATTAATCCTGTTGATTAAACCTTTGTAGATACATATTTCTTGTTGGAGTGTGGATAGTGTGCATTATGTTAATTTCATTATATCTTGTTTTATATCAGCATATTAGTGCTAATAGATCCCGTTGTTTACGCCTTTGTAGATACATTTTCCCTGTTGGATGTGTAATATGTTAATTTCATTATTAACTCTCATCTTTTTTATTTTATTTAATATTAGCACCTTTTGCATACAGAAATGGCTTCCAGAAGCTGGATAAGATTAAAGATTCCAATAGACAAAGCAATCAGCTGGAGGAACTCACTGGGAAGATGAGAGACTGCAAAAGGTAAGTCGTGCATTAATGTGAATATAATTTTGATTTCTCTATATGACAATTGAGTCTTTCTGAACAAAATCCAAAAAAGAAACGGCATTTGTTTGTTAACACTAGATATCACAGACAAAAAGATGGGCCTTGGTCCAATGGTTAGATCCGGTATTGTGTGACTAGGAGAAGGTCACAGTTTCGAGTCGTGAAATCATCTTTTGCAAATGTAAAGTAAGATACACTTATTTATGTACGAAGGAATCAAAAGAAATACGTGTTTTAAGTATGAATGTTTATGTGAAAGAGATTTTACCTTTGACCTTCTAGTTACACAGTAGCTAGCTACACATAATTCTTTATGGAGGACTACAAAATAAATACGTGTAGCTATTTAAAAATACCATAAACAAGACTTCTGAAGTGGAATTGACATCTCATGCCAACCTCTCAGGATTTGAAAAATAATGTGGTAAACATGGAACCATGCTTTATATTATGAAAAAAAAATTGATAGAAGTTTTTTGGTTTACCGTGCTGGTTATATGCTTTGTTTGTAGATCACATATTTGACAGACGGAGTTGCATTTTTTCATACACCAATCCTGGAAGAAGTGATATTTTTTCTACATTTTGAATTTGGATGTATTTTATGATTTATGTTCGGAATTTATTAATGACATTCTTGGAATCTGAAGAATTATGTTGCTGTTAATGACTTTAGGTTGATTAAAGATTTTGACCGGGAAATTAAAGATGAAGGGGCCGGAAATCCCGAAGAAGTGAATAAGCAACTCAATGACGAAAAACAATCAATGGTCAATACCTAGAACCCTTTTATTTTTCTTTCTCGTGTTGGAAATATAGTATATCTGCCTTCGTGCTGGAAATATAGTATATCTACCTTCGTGTTGGAAATATAGTATCTACCTTTTCAAAGTTTGGAAAGGGTTCTCGATCTTCCTTGTATAGTGAATTAACAATTTATAAAGAATTTGCATAATGTCAGTCCAGACATCAAATTAAGTGATCACCTTATGGTCTGAAAAAAGTTTGAGAATTCGAGGATCACCCATATGTTTGTTATATATTACACGTGCTTGCACTTAAACAAAAAACTCTTATGTTTATAGCATTCATTTTTCTTGCAGATCAAGGAGCTAAACTCGTATGTGGCACTGAGAAAAACGTAAGCTTATTTATGTACTTTCATTTTCTATTTTTAGCCTCTGATTGGTTATTCAAAGTTTATGAAATAAATAAGATGAGTAATACCAATTATCGTTGGAGGCTTGTTCAGCTTTCAGAAGCTTGAACTAACAATGTATGTTTTCTGTCAGTGTCTGTAGAACCAATAAAGCAAAATATAGTTTCTTTATTATAGTTCTTTGCTACGAAATAGAAATTTTGTCCTATTGGCTATTTGAAAGGAGGGTTGATACTATAACTTGGGTGATTAAACAGGTACATGAATACCATTGGTAATAAAAAACTTGAACTTTTTGACATGGGAGCTGGTGCAAGCGAACCAGCTGAAGGAAATGTTCAACTAGCATCAGGTAACATATTCGATAGAATTTGTAGTTGAGCTTGAGACCAACGAGTTGACATCAGCACTTTGCAATATTATACATTGAAGTTTATTTTTTCACTGTGTGTTTCTGTTGTAACCAGTCTCAATGTAAAATATGTACATTGTGTTTGAGTGCTAAATTTTGCAATAGCACACTTCAGGTAGTTTTTGTGGTTGATCCTTCTTGGGGTTTGGGGCCGAGACAGTTTTTGTATGTTTAACGTGTAGTGAACAACATACTTATCTTAGCAATAATGATGCTCATCTGGCTTATTCTACAGAAATGTCAAATCAAGAACTTGTCAATGCTGGGATGAAGACAATGGACGAGACTGATCAGGCTATTGAGAGGTCTAAGCAGGTGAGTCACTTCAAACTTATGCCTCCATTGCGCTTGCACCATTGGTCTTACCCTTGTCAAAATGTAGGTTGTACATCAAACAATTGAAGTTGGCACCCAAACTGCTTCTACTTTGAAGGGCCAAGTAAGTTTGATTTTGAATTGAGTATGCTGTATGAAGAGAAGAGTCTAGGGGATAACTAACTTGACATCTAATTCTCGTTTCAAATTATGCAGACCGATCAAATGGGCCGTATTGTTAATGAGCTGGATTCAATTCAATTTTCAATTAAGAAAGCCTCCCAACTTGTTAAAGAGATCGGTAGACAGGTTGCTTCATTTTTCTTTTTAATATGCACTATTTAAATTCCTCTAAACTCATGGGACTAAATTGCCCTTACCCCTGTTATCAGGTAGCTACAGACAAATGCATCATGCTGTTTCTGTTTCTTATCGTCTGTGGTGTAATAGCCATTATTGTCGTGAAGGTATTGTGTTCATTTCATCTATGAATTCAACTAGCTTGTTGTGGATATTCTCTCTCTCAAAAATTAAACTAGTATATCCCAACAATTTTATTTGAAAGAAGCCTTTTACATGAACTATTTTAATTAACTTCGGTAAACACGTTATGAAAAGAAGTGATGAGAACTTGGATCGTATGATGATCAGTAATAGGGATTGCTTATTCAATGTTGATGTGCACTACATATGTTCTAAGATGCACTTATAGCTATTTCATATCTGTGTACAATGCTGACAATATACTCCTATTTTCATACCTGTAATATTTTTCCGCAGATTGTGAATCCCAACAACAAAGATATTAGGGATATCCCAGGATTGGCGCCTCCAGTTCCCTCGAGGAGGCTTTTGTATGTTCGAACAGGAGAACTTTATGATTAATTCTTACATTTGAACCAGAGTTTTCTCCATGCTAGTTCTGCCAACTTGGTTCTTGTTCCTATCAATGGAAATATTAGAGTATCTCTTTCTGGAGGCATCGGTTTGATCTTCCCGGTTATTCTTTCTTTTTAAGAATTCCTGCATATACTGTTTGTGAATCTATGTAAATCAGACGAGAGTCTTCTGCTTTTCCTTGAGTGCCACGTTTTTACCTGTAACATTCCTAAATTTAGGGCTAGAGAATACTCTGCTGTGAAATTCATGGTGTATATGTATCTTACTGAATGGAGGTTCAGTCCCCCTCCCCTTCCCGATTTTTTGGTGTAATATATGCTTGCATTTTCAAACTATCTGCTGGATCAGCCTTGTAAATCACATTTATTCCAAGTTATGTTTGCAGTTGTTTATTCACAACAAAAATTGTTCGTATTACCATCAAGTCATTTACAAGGATGGGTTGTTTGTTGCTAGTCCTGTAACCTGCTCATATTAGCTTATTTTATATGCTCTTAAAACTACCATTTTGACTGAACAATAGAGTACCAAACTAATCAATCCACTCTTTACATAAAAGATCACATACATTCATTATTCAATAAATTTAAAATGAGAATATTTGCTTATAATTATAATAATGGCTAGAAGGAGTAACAAGTATTTGTTTGCTAATCTTTATGTTGGCGTTGCGATATACTGTGTTTGGTTGTGTTTAATTTCTTGGAATTATTTTAAATTACCACAAAAGATAGTATTACCAGAGAGAGTTTTGAAGATTCGCAGCACAAAGTTGAACACAGGAAAAGATTCTTGCATACTGGTTATAAAATGCCATAAAGTTAAACATGCAGAATATGGTGATCCCATTAGTGAATGGATTTGAAATCTCTAACACAAGAGTACTAAGAGTTGGTAAATAATTCTAAAATCACTCTTATAGGATTGATTTACCTAGAGAATTTGGTCTTAAAGCCCGAGAATATAATTACAAAGTGTGAGCAAGGGTGATTTAAAGCATAGCATACATATAATCTAAAATGAATGAGGAATATGGTGCATTTTGACTCGTTTCGTATTTCTTGTTTTCTTTCAAAAAGAGGAAGACATAAGAGGAACCCCTGAATTTGAATGATCATTTCCCTGTTGCATGGCTGGTTAGCTGCGTGCGGCCAATATGAGACAACCTTGATGAAGAAATTAGTGGTGTTTCTACATCAATATTCATATCAGAGGCAGAATCATTGCCACCACTGCTTCCTTCATTGTTGCCGCCATTATCTGGCACGTAAATATCAGATGACTTCTTCTCAAGTTTCCAATCCTGTAAGTCAGACGATAAACACGCGCTTAGGACAGCTTCATTCAGCTTATCTATTCTATCACTTCATTTCTTACTCTTGTTACCGTGTATAACAAGTTTGCATTGATTCAAAAGTATTGCATAGATACCACTAATAAACATGTCATGAGGATACCTTGGTGATTCGATCGGGAATACTTTCAGCTGTCAATTGCGAGGCTCGAACATCCCTGACCTTTATGTAATTGTACATCACAACTCCACATAGTGCTGCAAGTTAAATACGTAAGCGACCGAAGAGGTGGGAGATAAGAAACATTGCATTAGTCATTACAAATGAAACTTACCAATACCATAGCCGATTATATTCAGCCCAGTTATTGTAGACTCTGGAAATATAACTGTTGAAAGGGCTATTAATATCCAGTCTTTAAGCACACCTGCAACCCGGATGGTTACAGCACCGGTTCTACCAATGACTAAGAAAATGGAAAAGTTCAAGGCTAGAGCACAAAGAGCATTTGAAAAGAAGATCCAGAAATTGAACTGAATCTGTGAAACTTCAATCACGGGCTTTTCCAAAAGGTACCATGGTACAAAGAGAAACACAAAACTGCATATAACAAAGTACCAAAAAGTTAGCAGATCAAATGGTATGTTGGGTTTAAGGATAAGCAAGCATTCATACATTCTTGAAGAAACTAAACAACTCAGAAGATAGATTGCCCAAAAATCAGTATTGCTATGACGAAAGATAAAACTTCTGTGAAGCATCGACATAATACCTGCATGGAGCTATGTAATATAAGCTTGTAATGGGATTTAAACTCAAGCCCTTCTTCTGTAAAAGGACTTGTGTTAAGACGAGGCGAAAAGCTTCTGCAAAGATGCCTGTGACCTGGTAAAGTGTACCAACTATATTAAAATGAATTTCGCCGTAGGAGGAAACGACAACTCCAACACTAACTAGCAGCATGTTGAAGAACACGTCACACCTTGCTTTGTCAATGCCACATAAAACAGCCACAAGGAAAGTTGCAACTGGCACTGAAACACCAACACATGTATTTAAATTAACAAATTGTCATAAAGTAAGAGAAACATGTGAAGTTAGTTGAAAACATACTCAGAGCTTTAAGCATCTGGATGAAAGCCACAGATATATGCAAATATGCCGTGTTACCAAACCTGTAGCAACAAAAAAAACATTACTTTTTATAAATATGGTTGCACCTTCAAAAGTACTGATACTAAATGAAGCATAAACATGTGAATAGAGCATGGTGTTAACAACCAGGTTAATCTACAACATCAACACTACTCCAAGTTTAGTAGTGCTTACCAGAGACTTGATGCAAAGAAGGCACTTATAGGTATCACACATGTTGCATATCTGTGACACAAAGACATGTTTAGAAACAACTTAGTCAAAGAAGCACAAGGCACAAGAAGGCTTTAACTCAATGGCACATAAACTCACATTTCAAACGACATTTTAACCGGCGATACAACCTGCAAATCAGAACAGTAATAGTAACATCAATTACACAAACCTATCATACAATCAACATCAAGAAACTATGTTACTGCTATCCAAAACAAACACTTTACCATGTACACCAACATTGAATAAAATTGACCAAAACCCTCAAAAGGAAACATTCCCAAATCAGAACAGAATGACATACCTTAAAAACCCGAACAAGTAAAAATGCAACAGCTCCAGAAAAACCCATATGAATCATAGTAAGTGTGATGGGAAGTGGAAAGTTAAAGTACTTAGGAGATAAAACCCACTGCAAAAACAAACAAAAAAAATCAAACACTAACAAAATCAACAACACTTCAAGACTTAATCAACACAATGAACATGGTTTAGGACAAAATCAGAACCAAAAAAACAATACCTTGTTGTACAAAATAACACCAGAAGAAAGCAAGATGTAGATAAACAAGTAAAAATAAGTCAAAAAAAGCGTTTTGCTGATCATTTTGCCTTGGTTTCAAGGACAAAAAAAAAACCTGATTTTGACCAGAAAACTAACTTCTAACACAGACCCATTTGCTGAATTTGAGTAAAGTTGAAATCTTTACAATTGCAGCATGATAAAGAAGGGAAATTGTACGGATCTGTGCGTGGAGTAATGTGTATTGTGTTGTGTTAAGTCAAGATCGAATCCAAGAAAAAGCGCGTGGAGAGGGGAAAGAACAGAGAGATCAGAGATTCAGAAGAAAAGAGAAGGATTAATAAATGAAGGGTTTATTGAATTAATATCTTGGTGTTGTATATGGAGTACTAGTTGGGTGTGTGTTTGTGAAGCATATGGGTGAGTAATGCTAAATAGTAGCAATACTATATTGGAGGTAATATACTAGTGGTATATATACAAAAGTACACAAGCTACTACTGACTCACATCCTCTCTATGCATAGCTCTTGTGATTGTCACACATTCTAATTCTAATAGCAGATGGTATGGTTTAATCAAATCTTAATTGCTGTATTTGGAAAAAATTTCAACCTATTCACTTACAATCCAATTTCCCTAGTTGTAAATTTTTCTACAATACTACAAATTGTCTTTGTAATATGAAAAGACCACATTAAATGGATTTATACAAATGTTATTTGTTAACAGAGGAAACATAAAACTAGAGGGTTTCTATTGATGAAAAACTAAAAGGTAAATGCTTATTTGAAGAAATTTAATTTATAATAAATTAAAAATTATCTACTAAATTAATGACACATGGACAAGAAATTCTTGGATTTCTTATTCAAATTCTTACTAAATAGCATTACTCTTATTAAATATAAAAAATCGGTCTTTATGAGAATATAATAATATTATCTAACATCTCTCTTTAAACTCACAAGGTAGGAAACATCAAAAGTTTGTCAATCAAGACACAACATAAATATTTAATAAAATATGTCTTCATAAATAAATCAACGATCTGTAAGGAGGACGAGACAAACGATAAAGTAATTATTTTATATTCAAGATGGCGAGTGAAGTGACAAACAATCTCAACATACTTGATGCATTCATAAAATATTGAATTGTGAGGAGTTAGAATGAAATATTTGTTATTACAATATATGAAGTTGTTCAAAAAGAGAGACATCCCTATCAAAAACTAACCATTGCAACCAAGTTATTTTACTAATAGTGGATATCATAACACAATACTCAATTTTCATAGAAGAGCGAGACACAATATCTCGTTTCTTACTTTTTCAAGATGTAAGAGAGTCTTCAAGAAAGATATAAAATCTCATTAAATACATATGATTTGTGGAATACTAGCCCAATAAACGTTAGAATAAGTATGTAACTACAATGAAGAAGATAAGGAAAATAGAAGGTTCTGAATCTGGGTTCCTAGAAGATAATGAATGATGCTAAGACCAATTGTGCAATGCATTGTAGTGGAAGAGACAACAAGTTGATTGACAACATAAACATCATAAGCAATATTAGGTCTGATAATCATAAGGTACATAAGAATTTCCATCAAAGTACGATATAAAGTGAAATATAGTAGATGACACCATCAGAATGATCATATTTCATAGTGTGTTGCTATAAAGGGTAAATTATGTCCTCTTTTTAGGAAGATGACTCAGACAATTTTTAAATAATTTCTAGAAGTAAAACAAAAGAAGCAGAGTAAGTGGAATAGATAAAATTGGACAATTGAGTATACTTACGATCACGAGAGAAATATCGAGGAAGATGAGGATTAATAGTCGTAGTGTGAATGCATTTTTCTCTTAAACAAATGTTTTTATATGATTTCAAAAGTATGATAGATTTATCTTTTCTTTATATTGGACGGTATCTCTGAGTTATTGTGTGCACTCCTGCATTAGGGATCTTAGAATGCATCTAAAACTAGTTTGAAAAGGTTGCCAAATGGTATCATGCATCAAAAATGAATTTTTGCATAAAAATCAGTTTGATGTGTCGACACATCCATACTATGTGTCAACACATGTAGTCGAATAATAAAATTTATAGGTTTTAGAACTATGTTTTGACACAAAGTCCTCATATAGGTCGACACATGTCACTAAAAAATTACTTTTGCATAAAAATCATTTATATGTGTAGACACATCTATTGACTGCTTCGACACATGTGTTGTTATTTTGAAGCATGTAAGTCTATGAAATGTTGTGTCAACATATAAACTTCATACATGTCGACACATATTATTACATGTGTCGACACATAACTTACATGTGTCGACACATGTGGAGAAATTTTGCAAAAATTCTTTTTCTTTTCAAACATCTAGGTTTCCCTTTTGCCTCCAACTTGCGCACCTATATATACTTCATACATGCATCTTTTTCAACTTGATGAAACTATAAACACATACTAAGATTGCTCATCATATTCAATCTTACATCTATGCATACACACAAACAACATACACATAATCATTTATTGTTTGGGTGTCATCTAAACTTATGTTGATAACGTTTAATTTGTGTTGGTTGTAACCTAAGATTGGGTTGAGAATTATAGGGAGTTTCATTGATAAAACGGTGAGCGTTTTTACCTCAAAGTCAAAGTGTGGAATTGAGGGTTTTTACAACCTTTTATACATATATATGATTATGTGTATATATATATATATATATATATATATATATATATATATATATATATATATATATATATATATATATATATATATATATATATATATATATATATATATATATATATATATATAATAACCGTTTGATTTAAAATAAAAGATTGAGATTTAATATCTCATTACATGATCCTTTGTTAAGAAAATTTATTAAACTCTTTGGTTGTGCAACTAATTAGTATAGACAAATCCTTTGATTGTTTAAAAGTGCTTTGTTGATTATCTTACAATCTATTAGATTGTAGGAGGTTTTTCATATGAACAAAGCTCAAAATAAAATCTGAAAAATTAGGTGCACACAAAGTGTCTGATAAATTGTTTCACTTAGTTTTGCAAGTTGTACACTAAGTGTTCGATTAATTGCTTTATTTAGTTTTATCATTTGTTTCATTGAATATTGGTTGGTCTTGTAATTGTAAAACAACTAGTTGAGAAGTTTACCATTGTTGTACCCTAAAATTTTCCCTCTCATTTTTCATACAAGATACAATCCTAGGGTTTCCCGGATATTCAAGTTGGCTCAGAGATTGAACAGACAGATTCTCCTCCGAGGCAGTAAATCAGCAATTAGGGTTTTACAGTTCTCAAAAGAAAATGAGTTTTCAAAGATTCAAATGGTCTTTATGGTCATTCATGTGTTATCAGAGATATTTGTGCCAAGTTTCAAGCTCCGCGTTGTGAGTTTGCTCAGTCAGTGGTTCAGACGACTGAAAATGACTCCAGTAACCCAAAAGATGACCTTTTGCGACATCAAGTTTAAGTGATTGTAACTCTTTCGTTATTCGATATTTTTTTGGCGTTTCTTTTGCGTATGACTCTCCTTGATGTCATCTCTATTTTCTCTTCACAAGTTAAGACTTAATTATGTGCGAAAGATCATCAGAAAATTCGAATGCTTTAAAGGTCATTTTGCAAATTTGACCTAGTCACAAGAAACTCCTGTCCAATTTTTGAGATTCACAACTTCTTCAATTTTAAAAGTCATGAAATGATTCTTTTTGCAAAGTATCACAAATAGTATTGTCTATAAGATTATTTCAACGATCAAAGTCAAAGTGCATTTGGAAGATCATGAAATTTTACAAGACATTCATTAATACTTTCAAGTCCATTTGTTTCTCATGCGTTCATTTCAAATTCAATGTGCTAAATCCGTGGATTCAAGGTCAAGTTCAAACGATTCAAGTTTTGCTAGACGCAATCAGTTTGTTCATAAACTTCATTCAAAGTCTCATTATCCATTTAAGTTCAAAAGTTCTACATGAGAATCGAGTCCATATCGATTTTACATATTACAAGGCGGGGTTTATTCCAAATTTCCATTCTCAATTTCAAGTCCAAATCTTATTCCAAATTCAACTTTTCAAGGATATATTCAAAAATCAACCCATCATTCTTCATTCAAATTTCACAAGAAGCTTACAAGACTACAAAGTGATTTTTGAATACTTAAGTCCTCACCATTATCATTCAAATTCCTTTTGGTACAAGACTTAAATCCAAAATAATTGTTCAAAATCAAAGAATGTACAATTGCTAAAGTTTTTACAAACTTGCAATTACAAAAAAAAAGTTATGTTACAAATTCTTAATAATGCATTAAAACTACAAAAGAGTTTTCTTCATCATCAAGCTTTCTTCAAGTGCTTCAAGCCACTCGTCGTCAATCCAATGGGCCGTACATGTAAACAAAAAAAAGCATTGGTTAGAAAAATTCATGTTGGAATATTGGAAAATTTCAAAGAAAATCTCTATATTTTCATCATTAGGGATTGGTAAAAAGAATCAGAAATAAGGGGACAACGTTTCGTCCGTATTTGGTTCATTGCAAATCGCAATTTTCTATTGGTTCACAGAGGACAAAATAAAGAGAAATGCAAGTCAAAATCAATGGTTTAATCATGGTTTCAAATGCTGGAAAATCAGTTTGCATCATAATAAAAAAAAGGCACAATCACAAAAAGCCAAAATGCTGTCAAAAAGGGACTGCATTGCAGCCCTCCATATCCTGTTCACAAAAGGCCAGATTCTGTCCAAGTAGCTGCAAACATACAACCCAAAATTACACAAATTTAGGCTAAGTCAAAACTGCCACAACAGGAAGCAAAAACAGCATAGCATATTTGTTCAAACCCATTGGCTTTTCCCCCAAAAAAAGTTTTGATTTTTCAGCATAAAACAGGGCCATTCGGCACAAGCAGAAGGGGAGAAAAGATATTCATTGTCCAAAAAACAGTAGCATAAAAATAGTATAACAAAAGCATACCAAAAAAACCCAAGGGATTATCATCATTTTCTCAAGTACCACCCTTCAGAAAAGA